CTCTCTCTTAATATATCCTTTTGGAATTATGTTATCCATGGTACTCAAAATAATTCCCCCTTATTCAAAATACTTCCTTTTTCTAAATGATCCCAAAACAAGCTCTGAAGGGATAAGCCTTTCAAATTGAACTTTTTCAAGAAAGTTGAACTTGGAGTTCTGAGATATTTTTGCTTTTATTAACAACTAAGAAAAAACTGGGACAATGGACACCGGCATCTATACAGGAGGGAATGACTGCATCAAGAGGATGGTTAGATTAATCAGTGTGAAGGGAGAAAGAAAATTCAAAAACATAAAGAATAACAATATTGTATTGATTCTAATTGTTAACATACCACTTCATTTTTTCTTTTCTTTTTTTTTAAGTTGGGGTCTTACTCAGTCACCCAGGCTGAGTGCAGTTGCATGATTATGGCTCACCACAGCCTTTACCTCCTGAACTTAAGTGATCCTTTGGCCTCAGTCTTCCAAGTAGCTGAGACTATGGATGTGTGCCACCATGCCTGGCTAAGTTTTTTATTTTATTTTACTTTATTTGTAGAGATGATGCCTTGCGATGCTGCCCAGGCTGGTCTTGAACTCATGGGCTCTAGTGATCTTCCCCGCTTTGGTCTCCCAAAATGCTGGGATTACAGGCATAAACCACTGTGCCCAGCCTCAATTTTTTCCTTTTATCTACTTTTATCTTTTAAGTTCACTCCCTCCTAAATACAGTCTTAGGTTTATTAGGTTACAAGCCTTCCTATTATTTATATCATCACTTGATTCCTTCCTTTTTTACATTTTCTTCTTATTGTTTACTTTAAGTTGTTTCTACTTATGTCCTTATTTTATTACCACCTTGATTTTTCAACCCACATACCTAAAGCAAGTGATCTTCCAACTGGTTTGGAGTTGTATCTCACACGTTTCTGAAGGATACTGGCTAATGTTTAGTGCTCCGGAGCTAGTTAGCAATCTCTTTACACCTAGATGGTGAGCACTGCTCATGAGGGCCACTGGTTATTACTGGAAGGACCAAGGTAAAGTCAAAGGAGAAGAAAAAAAGGAGAATATAGGGAGTGGGGAGAAAGGAACCAGAGTAACAGAAGACAGGTGTAGAGAGAAGGAGGTACTCGAAGTAGAGAGTGGTACAAAGCCACAACAAGTGTTTCAAGAATATTCTTTACCAAAACACGACTTGGGGGTGGTATTATAACACAGAAGAGACTATCAATTGCATTTACTTTCAAAAAAATGAAAATTCCCTTAATTATTGAATATGATAAAATAACTTTTAGGATTTATAGAGTTTATCTTCCTGAATTACAGAGAAAGGTGAGGCGATGTAAAGTGAAAAATTCCGCATGGTAATAAGACCATGTTTCTTTGTCTACTGAAGACTTTTGCTGCTTTAATTTATGATGTTCATATATATATATATGTATGTATATAGACATGACAGCCGTTCATACTTTGAGGTTTAACTATATCCACAATGGTTATCTGTTATGTGTTATGTCTCTGCTATATGTTACACATCTTAGAAAACTAGCAACACTTTGCAAGAAAGAAATAATGTGAATCTACTGCATGGTAGATAATCTCTAAGACTTTTTATAATGTGAAATGTCATTTCAGATTTTTTTTTGGTGAAATAACTAAAAAATAACATCAGTCCAAAACAAAAGGATAAACAAGATACTGAATGATAATTTTACAGAAAATTTTTTGATAGACTGTACTATAGCAGAAAGACTATTTTATGGCTCACGTAGTGAACCTGCTCTTTGTGCAACAAGAAAAGCTAACACCAACAGTTTCTTTTTATTGAGCTGTTGCTATTTCATGTAAAAATCACAGAACAATATTCTGTCTGGGAATAATTATGCCTCAAATAATTTATTTTCTTATTCTCTTCTACTTTATAATAATAAGAATGTTAAAAAAATAGACTTTGTTGTCTCTGGTATTTCATCTGCTGTAGCTGGTTGCTCTACTCTAGAGCCAAGAATTCTTTGTCATTTTATAGAAATCCTGTATGGCTACAAATTATAAAATCAAAACATAATTTACTTTTTAGATGTGTAATAAGAAACCAGAAGAATAAAATAATTTTCTTTCTTGACAATATTTATTTTAGTAAATACTGTAGAAGGAATCAATTTAGCAGAAAAAAACATAGGAGCCATTGGGGATTTGTTATTTATGTTTAGACTTTGCCAACTTCAGAATACTCTAATCTAGTGAGATCAAGTTGAAAGAGGTGGATCCAAGACAGTCTTCTTGAGAAAGGATATACTTGTGGAAATAAAAAACATAAACTCAATTTCTCCACCATTTTATTTACACAGAATATGAGTTCCAATTCAGATAAATGTTACTCCTTTTTCAGAGATGGTCTGAGAAAATGTGTGTATAATAACAGCAGTTAATATTATTAAAGATTAAAAAAAACCAATTATCAAATGCTTTTTAAAACTGTGTGCCAGGTTTTTTACTAAGTCTTTCTATGGTTTTATTTAATCCTCATAACAATCTGTTGGGAAGAGTATTGTTGTTATTATTGCAGTTTTACAGATAAGAAAACTAAGGCTCTAGCCGGGCTTGGTGGCTCAGCCTGTAATCCTGCGCCTTTGGGAGGCTGAGGTGAGTGAATTGCCTGAGCCCGGGGGTTCGAGACCCGCCTGGGCAGCGAGACCTCATCTCTACAATAAATCAAAAAATCAGCCGGGCTTGGTAGCGCATGCCTGTAATTCCGGCTACTCGGAAGGCTGAGGCGGAAGGATCGCTGGAGCCCAGCAGTCCGAGGCTGCGGTGGCTGGGAGCGGCCACTGCACTCCAGTCTGGGTGACAGAGTGAGACTCCAACTCAAAAAAAAAAAAAAAAAAGAAAACTAAGGCTCAAAAAATGTAAGTGACCTGCTCAAAGTTACACAGATGAAATTGGTAACAGAGCCCAAATCAGTCAAACTTTGCTCAAAGCCCATTGCCTCAGCCATTTGCAACATAAGAAGATACTACTAAGAGATAGTGATGGACCATGGAGATTAGTTAATATATTTAATTATAAGAAAAAGGAAATACAGGCTGAGCATCCCTTATCTGAAATGCTTGAGACCAGAAGTGTCTTAGATTTTAAATTTTTTGGATTTTGGAATATTTGCATACACATAATGAGAGATCTTGGGGATGTATGTTTCAAATATACCTTATACGCATAGCTTGAAGGTAATTTTATACAATATTTTAAATAATCTTGGACATGAAACAAAGTTTTGACTATGGTTTTCTTTTCTTTTTCTCTCTCTTTTTTTCTTTTTGAGTCAGGGTCTCACTCTGTGCCTAGACTGGAGTGCAGTGGTGTGATCACAGCTCACCACAGCCTTGACCTCCTGGGATCAGGCAATCCTGCCTCAGCCTCCCAAGTAGGGAAGACTACAGGCATGTACCACCACACCCAGCTCATTTTTTTTTAATAGAGACAAGGTCTCTCAGTGTTACCCAGGCTGGTCTCAAACTCCTGGGCTCAAGCAATCCTCCCCTGCCTTGGACTCCCAAAGTGCTGTGACTACAGGCATTAGCCACTGTACCCAGGCTTGACTGTTTTAACTGAGATCCTTTCACATGAGGTCAGGTGTGAAATTCTCTACTTGTGGTGTTATGTTGGCACTCAAAATGTTTCAGATTTTGGAGCACTTCAACTCTAAGATTTTTGAATTAGGGATGTCCAGTCTTTATTTTAATGGCTAGATGTAATTTAAAAACAAAAATAAAACCAAGTAAGACTCCATAAACGGCCACTAAAAAGGAACTGGTATTCTTAACAGCTCTGATAAACTGGAAAAATTTTTAATACATTTTTCAATATCAGCCTTGAGTCCATAACCAGTAACAGAATAATAATATATTTTATTTTGAAAATTACTAAGAGAACATATTTTAAATCTTCTCACCAAAAAAAATGACAAGAATTTGAGGTAATGCATATGTTAATTAGTTCAACCTAACTATTCCACAACAAATACGTATTTTAAAAAAACATCAGCTGGCTCCGTGGCTCAGCCTGTAATCCCATGCCTTTGGGAGGCTGAGGTGAGTGGATTGCCTGAGCCCGCGGGTTCGAGACCTGCCCAGGCAGCAAGACCTCATCTCTACAATAAATCAAAAAATCAGCCAGGCGTGGTAGCGCATGCCTGTAATTCTGGCTACTCGGCAGGCTGAGGCGGAAGGATCACCGGAGCCCAGCAGGTCGAGGCTGCGGTGGCTGGGAGCGGCCACTGCACTCCAGTCTGGGCAACAGAGTGACTTCAACTCAAAAAAACCCCCCAAAAAACACATCATGTTGTACACGGAAAAATAAAAACAAAACCAAAGAAATGACAAGTGTTTCTAAGCAATTTGGCTGAATTTTCATTCTAGGTTCTCAGATTGGGCTTTAGGCAGGCAAATGCTATTTAGGTTTTGCTTCTAAGCTTTATGAAATCTCAGGCATCTTCAAGGGCATGAGCTGTCAGTACTATCTGGGACTTCAGAGCTTTGAAATACAGCATCTTACAGAGAATTACGGATTTCTCTTATGCTTGCTTTTCATAAAGTACTTTACTGATACTTGAGTTTAAAGCAGGAGAACATCCGTTTGTTGGGAATCTGTTCTCTTTTATTGGACCATATACATGTTTTCAACTTGAAAACATATGGAAGACTTCTAGACCAAGAACATCTGCTGTCTGGCAATGTGTACAGGTCAAAAGAATAACTTATAGTACAGAGTTTGTATTTGATCCATGTTTATTTGCAAGTAAGAATTTTCATGTGATTATAGTACTTTAACTGAAAAGTGTTAATGAAGATTGTGCCAGAAAAGATATTGGTTAACATGGTTATTTGTGAAATGAAGTTATTCTGACCACCATGGGAAAACAGATGTAAAAAATCACTGGATGCCTGGGCTAAGCCAAAAATCTGGAAAAAATACAGTGTCAGTCTAATGATACTTAAGAAAACCAAAATATTTACCTCGGACAGCATAGCCATCTTTTACTGATGCTGGAAAGGGGGGTAGGTTGTCTTTTGCATATACATCTTGAGCAAGAACTCGCCCCATTCCATCTGAAGGAAGATAAAAGAAGGACAATGTAAATACTGAGCACAATGGGGGTAAGCAGGCAGTCATAAACAAGATGGGCATGACTGCTTGTCTGACACAGCTTGTACATGGCCTCAGCCAGACCTCCTGATTTCTGTCCCAAGAAATAGGGGACAAAAAGAAGAGATGCATCCTTGTGCCTGAAATAAAAGATCACATTCAGTCATTTCATAGTAATGCTTGCAGGAATTATCTGAATATGAGTTGCTATACAGTCATTAAAGATGTGTTCAGCTGATGTGTCACTAATCCTTTAACAACCCAAATATGATTTTTTCAACAAAAGCCAAATCTTAAAAATTTTCATATCCACTAACTTCAGTTTCACTTCTAGAAATCTTTCCTAGGAAATGGATAAATCTTTATGCACATGTTTATTTCAGAGTTGCTTATGAAACTGGCCCAATTTTCCCATAGGACTGATATTTATGGTTTTTTGAATAAACATAGAAACTGACCTCCCAGTCTTAAAATTTGAAATGTGTATTTGCCGTATTGGAGTTCATTCCTCAGCAGACCTATCATCAGGCAATAGGCTAAAACTCACCAAAATACTGCATCCAAACAATGAGAGGCCACACTGTTGACTCAATATAATTGCTTTCTTACCCCTCCCTAATTGCTGTTTTACATTCCTACCTCCAGTATATTTCAATTGGCCCAATTACAATTGGTGGGAGATTGATTTGAGACTTATCTCCCATTCTCCTTGGCTGTTGTTTGCTGTCTCAGTGAATGGCTTTCTGTGCAGCAAACAAAGGGACCCTTAAAAACCTCTGGTGTTTTGGTAACATATTAGTGAAAAATAGAAACTCAAAGATCAATAATATAGGTGTTTAAATAAGCAATGCTATATCCTTATGATAAAAGTTATGCAGGATAAGTATTATTAAGGAAGAATAGTCATCAACATAGGAAAATTCTTACATAAAAAAATGCAAAGTCACACATACAGTATATAATAACTCTCTCTCTCTCTCTCTTATATATATATATATGTACATATATTTATTCATTTTTGAGTTGCAGTCTCACTCCATTGCCCAGGCTGGAGTGCAGTGGCACACTCATGACCATCCCAGTGTCGACCTGCTGGGCTCAGATGATCCTTTTGCATCAGCCTTCTAAGTAGCTGAAACTACAGGTATGAGCTACTACGTCCGGCTAACTTTTTTTGATTTCTTGTAGAGATAAGGTCTCACCAAGTTGCCCAGGTTGTTCTCGAAGCTGTGGGCTCAAGCAATCCCCTCACCTCAGCCTCCCAAAGTGATAGGATTACAGGTTTGAATCACCACGCTTGGCCTAATCTTAACTATATTAAGATGCATGTGTACATATCAATAGAAAAAGACAGAAAGGCCATACATGAACATATAAAGCATTCATTACTTTAAAATGTTAGATTTATAATTTTTATTCCCTTTGCTAAAGTTTTCAGAAAATTTCCAAGTTTTCTACAATGAGCACATCATTTTCATAGTCATAAAGTTGCATTTTTCTTACAAAGGTAAAATCAAAGAGAAAAAGGAGTTTCCCAATCATTCCATTTTAATTTTAGCCTTTAATTTTGGTTTCATTAACCTAAGTAATTTAGTGACTATAAGAAGAGCATCAGTAAACTTTTGTGTGAAGTAAGTATTCAAACTACTCTGGATGACAGTCACTTTTGGCTCAGGAATTTGAACTTGTGCCCGCAAGAATAAAAGTTTCAAGAGTCATGATCAATTCCTTAAACGTCCTAGTGAGAACTTTTGTTTTTGTTATTAATTTTAAAGAAAGAAAAGAAAAATAGGAGATAAAAGAGGAAGAGGAAGGAAAAAAATCAAGGTATTTGTATTATAGGACTTGATTTACATGAGGTATTTGTATAGTTTATTTTTTCTTCTTTCTTTCTTTTTTTTTTTTTGAGTTGGAGTCTCACTCTGTCACCCAGGCTGAAGTACAGTGGCATACTTGTGGGCACCACAGCTTCGACCCGCTGGGCTCAGGTGAGCCTTCCACCTCAGCCTTCCAAGTAGCTGGAACTACAGGCATGTACTACCATGCCCAGCTAAGTTTTTTTTATTTATTGTAGAGATGAGGTTTCACCAAGTTACCCAGGCTGGTCTTGAACCTGTGGGCTCAGGCAATCCTCTCACCTCAGCCTCCCAAAGTGCTGGGATTGTAGGCGTGAGACATTGCACCTGGCTGGTATTTGTATACATTAGTTGACTTCATTGTTTCCAGAGCTGAATAAATGAGTCTATGGTTTTTAACTTTGACCTTAGCCTCCTAGGACCTGCAGTTGCTAGATCCTGGGACCTAGAATTACATACAGAGAGATTTCTAATTTTAAACTCTGACCCATAGCTACAGTGATATTGACTCTTCCCTTTAGACATCTGAATTGGAAGAGAGAACTTCTTAGCAGATTCTAGAGGAATAGCAAATTCAGATACTCCTGGGAGTTTAAAGCTGTTCCAGAGCTTTCCTGGAGCTTTGGACCATACTCTGTAGGTAAGGGAAGTGGTGGGCCCAGCAGGTCTGGTTTGTATTCACTTATACAACATTAGCTTCCAAGTGAACCTGAAACTATAAAGTAGTCCCTGGAGTGAGCCCAATGGCATTTGTCCACAGTCACAATAAACCTGGTATGGCCCCTTATCTGGAACTAATCTAGCCCCAGGTGATTAATTAAAATGTAAGCTCTACACCAGAGGTGTCCATCTTTTGGCTTCCCTGGACCACATCAGGTAAACAGGAATTGTCTTGGGCTACACATAAACTATATCATATATATATATATATATACATATATATATATAAACTTCTTTTACTTTTTATATTTTTATTAAAAAGTTTAGAAAAAATGAGAACAATATAAAACTAGTGGGAATTTGACCTTGTTTTTGTAAAATTAACCAAACAATGTCTGGTTCAATGGAAGTAGTTGCAATTCTTAGTGAGTTCTCAAGGTACTCTTCAGAAATGTTTGTTTGAATTTTGCTCTTCATGTGCCTTATAACTAAAAAAAGCTGCTCATAAATGTATGTACTGTCAAAAAGTGAAGTTATGAATAAGGCATGATTGTGAACTTCAAATCTGGATCAATGCAAGGGGCCACAAAGAAAATAAATGCTAAAAAAAAAAATAATGTTAAAAGATTTTGTGTGGCTGCATTACTAGCTGACCTGGGCCGTGAGTTGGACATGTCTGCTCTATACCATCTCTGATCCTAAAAGAATGACTTTGCTGGGATTTTCAATAGTGCACTAATAGTGGTTAATAACCAAAGACAGCACAAAGGCTGAGTTTTTCTGGCAACTGGCCCCATTAATCTAGTAAATGCTTATTAATGTTTTATAAATTCCTAAATAATATAACATATAATCTCATTTAATCCCACAAACATCTAATAAAGTACTATTATGCTCATTTTACAGATGAAGAAACTAAGGTTTAAACAAGACAATTTACTTACCTAAAGTCATATATCTGATAGGTGGTTAAGGTAGGACTGAAAAATCTAGATCTAGAACTTTTTTTTTTTTTTGAGTTTGAGTCTCACTCTGTCACCTAGGCTGGAGTGCAATAGCACTAGATTTAGAACCTTTAACATGCCAACATAACATGATTTAATTTAATACTGGAAACTATCTACTGCTCTTCCTTTATTTCCCTCACATTTAAAAAAGTTACAAGTAAAAAAAAAATGTAATTACCATGTGAGGGTACCCACATAATGATCATTTGTATACCTAACCCTGAATTGTACCCCACATTTTTAAAATTTAAAAAAATTACCAAATGAACCAGCAACTGCATTTCTGACTATACATCCAAAAGTTTAAAGGAAGGACTTGGTCACAGCAGCATTATCCACAATAGTCAAGGGTTAAAGCAATCCAAGTGGTCATCAACAGATGTACAGATAAGCAGAATGTAATATATACATACAGAAATATTATTCAGCCTTAAAAAAGGAAGGGAATTCTGGCATATGCTACAACATGGATGAAGCTTGAGGACATTCTGCTAAGTGAAATAAGCTAAGCACAAAAGGACAAATACTATATGATTCTACTTATAAAGTACCAAAGCAGTTACATAAGAGAGACAGAAGTTGAATGGTGATGGCCAGGGGCTGTGGGGAGGAGGAAATGGGGAGTTTGTGTTTAGTGGGTACAGAATTTCAGTTTGGGAAGACCAAAAAGTTCTGGAGATGGATGGTGGTGATGGTGATGGAGATGGATGGTGGTGATAGTTATAGAACAATAGGAATGTACTTAATGCCATCGAACTCTACCTTTAAGAACAGTTAAAATAGTAAATGTGGTCTATGTTATCATCAGTAACACTAAAAAAAAAAAAAAGCTACAAAGAACTACTGGCCATTAAGTATTGACAACATCGTCACTTTTCTATCCTTAGCTATAGCCAGTAGCCCAAAATAAACATGCTCAGCATGGCTCTCTTTATCCTTGCAGTCTAAGGCAAACTTTGCTAAGTTTGAAAAACTATGGAGACAGACAGCTGTAGCTCTCATTGAGGATTAAAATGTAAATGAATACATTAATGTAATGCTCTGAGAATAGGAGTAATGATTATCCCTGCTTTTGCAAAATTTGGAGACACAGAAGTGGAAGAAAGTTAACTAAGATCTTACTAACAGTTTAGACAAAAGAACATCAGCTCACTTGCTTTCTATCTTTAATGCCTGAGCTACCCATATATCTTATTGTACAACTCCATTTTGGGAGGTTCCTATGGTATAGAATCTATTCAATCATGATTTAATTACATTTGATACTGGAAACTAAATACTTTGTTCTGGAAGTTTGCAATAATATTTATGCCCATTCTAACATATACATAAAGCATTAAAAGGCAGTCCTCAAATTTCTGAGGTGGCCCAAATAATAAATCTGGATTCAGAAAAATGTGTATATGATAAAGAATAATATTATTATTTAAATGCTACAAT